TTTGTGCTGTTTTTCTTCTTACTTTTATGCTTCATTTTATAGAGAACTTATGGACACAAGAATATGTGCTGGCATATGTTAATATTTAATAATTAATTATCTAAATTATAATCTGGTCAATCACATTCAACTATATTACTAGTGCAATTTTTTTTTTTTAAAGATAGTAAAAAATATATTTTTGATCAAACTTAGACTATCTATAATGATAAAATTATTCAACATTTATTTTTTCCATTTTTTACACTCACATCATCTTCTCTTCCTTCCACCTAATAATTTAACACCTATTTAATTTTTACTCACTACAATGGTTTTGTTTAATAAAATTCAACACCTTAACCCATCACTTTTATTTCATATTCTTATTTTCTTTTTTATATATTTTTTAATTATATATTAATAATAATTATCAATTGAAATTAAATTAAAATAATTAAGAGTTACATAATTTATTTTAATTTTTTTAATTTAAAAATTTATTTTAATTTTTTTCTCTAATTTTATATTCGTAATTACAGAAAACTTAAAATACTAGATTTTTTTCTTTGTCCAAATCAAATGAATCAAAGTTCTATTTATAGATAAAAAAATGATGAATTTTGGTGAAAATAAAAATAAATAAAAAATTAATTTTATATAAAATAATTAACTTCAAATAATTTAGATGAAATAAAAATATAAACAATCACAACAACTAATTATATTTTGCAAAATATTATAAGTGGCCCACACTCATTTCTCATTCAACATATTGAATATTTTCAACAAAAATTAATCAATGTCACATTCAACACCTTATTCAACAATCTATCGAAACAATTCAACTATTGAAAAATTTATTCAATATCCCAATTATAAATAGTTTTAGTGATCCCGCAGGTGAGTTACAGAGACAGTGATAATCAAATTAAAACAAAAGTAAGTTATTAATATTTTTTATTTATGATAATATTACGAAAAATCTTGATTTGTTTACATAAATGGGCTTAATTTTTGTTTGAAAAAAAACAAATGCATCAAATTAAATAACATGAAAGGGGAAAGGGGGCTTAATGTTTAGGGCATTTATTTCTCGATGGATGTTTATACCATGATAGTAAAATACATCTAATTTGTTTTCTTTTTGTTTTATGTAAATAAAATGCAATTTACGGACAAACCTCTTTTCTTTTATATAAAGAATTATATAAAAGAAAATTAATGAAAAGATAGAGAATAATCAATGAGATCAATCAGAATAAAAAAATTCAGAATATCATTATAATTTTATAGTAAAATAATAGATATTAAACTTATTTTCATTATTTTAAATTAATAACATTGAATTCAAAATTACTATATTAATATTTCATATATTTCATCAACTTTTATTACAAAATTTATATATAAATTTAATATATTTTAATGTTATATTTAATTTCAACTTTTATTATAAATTTTATATATAAATTTAATATATTTTAATGTTATCTTAAATTTTTCATATATAATAAAATTGTTTTACATGTTTTTATTAATATTTTTTTTATTGAATAAAAATTAATTTAATAATATAATATAAAAAGATAATAAATCACCCATTTTTAATTAAGAATATATTTTTATATCATTTTATATCTATCAATTAATATAACAGTTAATTTATTAAACACTTAAGTTAAATTATTAATTATTAATTATTAACTATAAATTATTAGTCATCAGCTATCAATTATATTAATTATCAGCTATCAACTATAAACTAATTTTAACCAACAAAGTTTTTTTTTATATACCTTATGTAACATAATGCTCACTGGTCTTAGCAGATTAATTTCAAGTTAGAACAAGACGTTCTTTTGTTCTACATGCTACTAAGATAAGAAGTACAATTTGAGAGGAACCCATTGCTTTGCATTAGTGAAAAACGTCATTTCCATTCCTCTAGTTTTGTCTAGGCCATTAGCCTAATAGACTTTATTCATATGTCTACTGATGATGTGGTAAGTGTGGTCTTATCAGAGAGTCAGGGAGTATGCATAGCTTGATATATTTCACGTCTAAAGCATTAGCCGACCCAAAAATATGCTACCAAAAAATTGAGAAAATCACTTTGTCCTTAGTAACAACTTCAAGGAAGTTGCAACGTTACTTTATGACACACACCATAGTAGTTTGAATAGACTAACCACTATAAAAGGTCTTCCACATGTCATATCTAGTATAATGGAAATGAATCTCTATGCTTCTTTCCAATATGACATCTCTCACATACACTATTTGAAATATTCACAACAGGCAATTCAGAAATATATTCTTTTCTCGATAAGTAATTCAAGTCAGAAAAAATGAAAGTGACCAAATCTCATGTGCCACAACCAATCATCATTTGGAATGATAGAACTCAAGCAAAGAAATTTTTAATGTTGAACTTTCAAAAGAAATAGGCGGATCAATGTCATTTTTACCTTTGTGATAAATCTCTCATTTCTGTCAATCAACGTGCAAAAACTATTGTGAGTCTGCATGTTGTAACCTTTCTCTGACAGTTGTCACATACTCAAGAGATTATGATGAAGACCGAGAACATAGAAAACATCACCAATAAAATTTTGAGATCCATCTTTTAATCCGATAAAAATTCAACCTTCCCTCAAAATGGAATATTTGAATTGTTTCCAAACTTCACGGAAGACTTTACCATTTCGTTTACAGATGAAAATAAAGCCTTTTTCCCACACATATGATTACTACACCCATTATTCAGATATCAAATATTTTCCTCTTTTGAAAATATATTACTTGCCAAAAATAAATTTTGTGGATTTTCAAAGCACTCATCGGTATTTTGATATAAACTTTTTTCCACATAAGCATGACGTTTGTATCTGCAATCAGCTGCTTTGTGTCCAAACTTTCCACAGTGATAAAAACTATAATTCGTCCTTTCTTGATTGAAGTTACCTCTTCCTCTGCCACGATATGTAGATCCAATACTATGACCACCTCTTCCTTGATGTGCTGGATTGAAACCGTTGAAGTTGTTGTCTCTCCATTGGTTAAAGTTTCCACAACCTCTTCCACCATAATTTCCTCGGTCTCTCCCTCTATAATTTTCTCTTCCTCTGTTGTAATTATTTTGACTTCTTTCTTCTATGGTACGACTTGACTCAGAAGTGTTATTGAAATTTACCTGACTCCTGAGAGCTTCTTCTTTTTACCACTTTCTCGGTCTTTTCTAATATTTTGTTGACATGACTTTCAATGCTTCCTTGTAACTCTACTACAGACAAGGTGTATGTGTCGTGTGACTCAACTATCGTAGTCACCACATGGTCAAACTTCATCGGTATCGTACATATAATTTTTTTCCACCACTTTATTATCTGGAATATCTTCTCCATATACTCTCATCTTGTTGACGAGATTTATAACACGAGAAAAATATTGTTCTACTATTTCTAAGTTAGACATTTCGTACCTTTCATATTCTCTATGCAACGATTGTAATTTTTGGACTTCTGAGCCTTCTCAACTATTTTATGTGACAACTTCAATATGTCCCACGCTTCTTTAACAGTCTTCGCATTTGCAATTTTTTTAAATACTGAGTAATTAATTCCATGACGAATTTGTGAAAGTGTCAACTGGTCTTTTTCTATGAGTGACTTCATCAGCTCCTTGTTATAAACCGGGATCTACAAAACTCTCAATATTATAAACTTTTAGATGTACTGTCATCAAAATTTCTCAATAACTAAAATCTAATTCTGTAGTTAATTTTGGACCGGACCAAACAAAATTATAATTATTTATCAAATCTCTCTTAAAAAATACTCACAATAAATTTTAACACAATAAAAACTCTAACTCTTTTATTTCTTAGACACTTAAATATTTTGGACACTCACATTAACAAAACCTAACCTACTCTAACATTAATTTGATATCAAATAGAACTTAATAAAATTCACACACACTAAATGAAAAGAAGAGAGGATAATTTTAAACTCACTAATTTTATTTCAAACTTGATATATGTATTTACATCATAGTTGATTTCATTTATATAGGCTAAAAAGGTTAATTTTGTAGGCTAAGTAATTGAAGGGCGGTGAAAAGAAACGGTGGTGATGATGATACAGCTAGACTCTTATCTTAATTGTTTTAGCAAATGTTAAGCTTATCTATTAAAACAAAAACATCTAATACTTCCCAATTAAGAAAGCCCCCGAATATCTAGCTATGTCCTTCTAGTAACCATTTCTATAATCTTCTTAATTTAATTTCAACAAACCATTGTTTCATTTAGGAGACAATGTGCAAACCTAGCCTTGGCACACTGGTTTAAGTATTTATTTAAGTCAGGAGTATCACGTTCCTGTCGTAATTGGTTAAAAATAAGAGAGTCGTTAATATTATTTATTTGTTTTAAGGATAAGAAAGAAATGAAAAAACTTAATTATTTAAAGATAGATGGATTCAAGAATTAATTAGATAAAGGGAAGGTGTTAGACACTCTTTATCTCACTTGTATTCAAGAAAATCTTTTTTAGATCTAGGATTTAGAGGAAATTACTTCTTTATTTAATTATCTTATTATCATGTATAACAAATAAGAGAAAAATAAGTTTTTAAAATTAGTAGACTGTTTACCTGGGGATTTGGTAAACAACCGCTGATCCTCCAAATGGTTACTTATTTGGTTACTCGCAGGATCGATCAGATTGATCCTATGGACATAGGTTGATTTTGAAGTTTAATTAATGTGGATAAGGCTTTAAGTAAATTGGTTAAAGTAAATTGCATAAAGGAAAAGGCTTGGTAAAATAAACAAGGCTGGAATGTAAAGGTTCGACAGGAATCTTAAAGGGAAAAGCATGTAAAATACTGGAAAAGTAAATGACTTGAATTGATTAAATTGGTGTTTCACACATACATTTCTCAACAATTCGTTCGCTCACACTGGGTACTTGAATCTAAATGAGTGACTATGTATTTATTGTGAACACACGCGA